CCGCAGCCACGCGTCCGCCGGCCATCACCTTGCCCTCGCGAGCGGCGCCCGGTGGCAAAGGGCCCGCCCATGCGAATGACCTCGTTTGAAAATTAAAGCGCGGCGCGGCGCGGCGATGCCTGCCGCCCATCTCTAAGGTTTCTTCCTGTTGACATAATAACGTGCGCCAGGAACGTCTCTCCTCACCAGGCCGAATCAGGGCCTGCTATTCAAAATTGCATGAACGGGAGTATAACATTATCAGCTACCACGATTCATTGGTAAATCCAATGCCAGATTCAGAAAGTACAATTGAACAAAGCTGGGCATGAAAGAAATTTTCAACACATGAAACTATTTTTAAAACAGTTTACAGTGTCGGCGACGCCACATTTTACTATAGTTTATATGTTGGTAGCAAACAAATAAATGGGGGATAGGGGACCACTTCTCGCATCTGTTATGATTGTGATGTGTACGCAATTTACGCTTTCATTTGCTGCAAGATTCACTTTCGGCTACCAACATAATTTCTGTTCCTAGCTCTCTCCTAAGCCACTGATTACAACTGCGGAGAGACTTTCCTGCAGCACTGTATTTGTTCTTTTGATTCCTTTCAAGCACGTGAAAAATTGCACAACAATTATCAAGACATCAAAAATCAATCGAGAGATAGCAAGAAGCCTTTTCATAGCGTCTGTTTTATGGAACATTTTATTTACGAAAAATGAAGAGTGAAACGTTTGCACACATTTTTTCAAAATTTCAAGTGATAGTCAATGGATGTACAAACTAGTCTGTTCCAATATTGCAAACATTTCTACGTTTGAGTATTATCGCCACATTAAATAGGGATAAACCATTTGAAAAATTTGGACGTTTTACAGAGTTGCAAAAATCAACACTTTTTGTGCTGATAACTAGTTGATTATTAAATAATATTTTTCAATAATTTTAAAACTTAAAATATGTGAAACATGCGTTAACTTTCCAAAGTTATGAAAACATTATAAATTGTAAATCATATGTATGCGGAGTAACGAACGGTTTTCAGGGAAAAACGAAAATCTTTCGAATCTAATCTCTGACGGTTCCCATCCGCCATAGAATCTCTTGACAATGGCCCCCACAATCAATGATCGCCCCAAAAGAGCTAAAACTGTCGAAAAATGTAGGGAAACGCGAAATGCCAATGAATTCGAGAGTGGTGTGTAAGGTGCGTGTTGAATGGGCTGCAGCGCCGGCCGGGCCCGCGAAGCCCCGCAGGGCCGCGCGCTTTGTTGGCCGTAAAGCGATTGTGGCGCGCTCTCTCCGCGGAGATAAGCCTCTCAGCGCCCTCGACCGACGCAGCGCCCCTCCGCTCCGCGCCACTCCGCTCCGCTCCGCTCCGCTCCGCTCCACTCCTCTCGGCGCACAACGCGCCGCCGCTCCTCCTCGCTGCGAGGGCGGCGCCTCCAGCGCCCTCCTGGCTACATTCACACCCAGGGCCTTTGAACTCTCCATCGAAACCGGGAGAACACTCGACGGTGCTACTCTAGGAAGCGGTAGCGTCGCGGGGTACAGCTGCAGGTTAGGCTCGCCAAGTTCTGCTAAATTGACTAATTTGTGAGAAATAGGAAAAGTGTCTTTCAAATGTTCAATTATTCATAATATACACGTATCGCACCTCTAATAGAAAAGTGACACAAGTGCGAAATCGTCATTTTTGAGCTAAAAGCTGATAAGAGGTTACCAATAGACCTACTGCTACTATTCTGAAGTTGATTTTGATTAGTTCTATTACTATTCGCTAGGATATTTGGTACAATCTATGACAAGAATTACAGAACTACGAAACTAAATTGCAATTTCTGAGAAATCAGAAATTCGTACTTGTGTCACTTTTCTATTGGAGGTGCGATATAAGAAACCGCTGAAGGAAGCGCGAACGTCGGTGCTATCCTTTCTTACATACGCGTCCACTTGCGTCCCGCGAATTGACGCATCAGTCACGCACGTTTGAAGTAGCGTTGGCAGCAGTTCGTGTTTTAGTTTCTGTAAGAACGGCCTCAGGAGAGCGCGCCACCGTAATGCTCCCCACCACGTTCTATGGGAGTTGAAGCGCCCCGATCCGCCGATCCCCCAAGTGCCCGTTGCAGAAAGTACAGTAGCTCAGTAGTATCCTCTGATCAATGTGTTGGCCGAGACGCGGCTCGTCCCGGAGACCTTAGGTCAGAGTTTTTCAACTGGCGGCTAGCGGGGCCCTTCATTGTGGCTCGTGGAAGGTTAGTAATGCTTTGCAGCTACTCCTATGTTCCCGTAATGTAAAAGATATTAAAATTAAATTTAGGAATTTTTTTCCAGTAAATTCAGAAATTGAAAATAATGCCAATGTCTTGTTCTGCGATACGCTTGGTATGGCCCGATATTACGTATGTTTCAATTCCTCCCGCTCGCTTCCCCTTTCACAGTAGCCGAGATGAACAAAACGAGGAAGTCGGGTTTCGTACGTTTGCAGTAATGGAAATATGACCCGCATTAAAGGTTAGAGTAGTAGACCTTGAGACCTTGTTTGTTGAACACCCGTGCCCTCGATAATACAAACTCTGGCCGCGGACCCATCGCAATAGGAAGGTATACTACTTTTATTGTTTATCCAACAAACGGTGTTCGTGTGTCTTGATTGCCGTAAAACCAACAACGGCGCTTGCTTGCAGCCAGGTAATTCGAGCCGCTACTAGAAAGCGTTTTGTAAACTTCAAGAAGAGGCGACGGGAGAAATAATTGTAAAGTAAAAAGCGAAGGGAAGGCAGGGCGCCACTCCATCCCCTTTCGTTCATTCGGTTCTTTTGCAGGAGTCCTGAATTTTGTAGTCCGTTCATAAGGAGCCCAAGTAGATGTCCTCGCACCAGTCAAAAGAAAGCCTCGAACAAAAGTGACCACTTGATATAATCAATTGAAAGCAGACCACGGTAAAAGTAGAAACCCTTTTACTAAGGAGCAAAAGGAGACAGGACGCCGTCGGGCCCTGCGTTTCGGGGGAGTTGGGTGAAGGGCTGAGAAGCAGTTGCCCGGGGATGCGGTCGGGGCCGAACGACGGCCGGGGACTGCCCGAGGCCGCCGCGCGCCGCTCAGGGAAGAGCCTTCGGTGGCGCGATCCTGTTCCGTGAGCGAGCGCCCGCGACGCATCGATGGCGCTGGTGCGCCGCAGTCGCGGGGGGGCGAATGGGACTCGAAACGTGCGCCGGGGGGGGGCGGGGGTGGATTGGTCGGTTCCAGAGTGCGACTAGGTCATTAGTCGGTTGAGGGTAGGGTACGTTACAGTCAGGAGGTGGCGCTGTCTTCTGCTGGAATGTGGCATCCACCGCTTACTCTCACGTCGCTTTACCCTCCCCCTCCCTCGGATATCTTCTCCACCGAGCACCGCTCCATCTGGGACGAGGTGAAAGCTTTCGGCACGTCTCCTGATATGTCTGGTAGTGAGTTTAAGTGCACATATGACTGTACTTATGACTGCGCGTATGGCAAGTAAGGGTGAGAATATAACAAGAAAGAGGAAGGAAAGATCGCACGCGCTCCGTAGCCCGATTGTTAGAGTACAGCCCCGACATTCGCCCGGTATCGATTGGAGAAGCCACGAAAAACTACCGATCAGAGCAGCCGGACGGTAGAATTCCCCTACACACAGCAGTTGAATTCGACTAAGCTATTTATGTTACGACGATATTTCGCTACCGTCGGACTCGTAACATCGGACCTCCTGGTCAGAGCCGTTGCAGTGCGAATGGTAATGTTGCCTCTGAGCAATGCGGGACGGCGCGGTGGCGGGATGCCCAAAGTAGCGACCAAATTTGGCGGCAAAGTGGCAATTAGTTTAAATTAGAATAAGCTTAGGTTAATTCTTCTGTTTAAGACAGGCTCTGACCCGACTGCAAAACCCTCATAGGCTGCAGTTAAGTACCCCGGGTACACGAATAACTTCCCGCCTCTCCAAGGTTGCTGGCGAGGGGAAGGGGTAGGGGGTGCGATCTGCAGGGTACACTCTCGCTTCCCTATTAATAGCGGCGCATCGTGAGGCGTTCGGGTTTCGCGGCTGCGAGGCGCTGACTCACGACAACTGGAGACGGAGGGCGCGCGGAACGGGGTCGCTTCGTCGCAGTCGCAACACTTCAGTCGACGGGCGCCAGGGCTTCGAACAGACGCCGTTGAGAGGGGGTAGCGGCAGCGGCGTGGAGCGCACGAAAGTCTTGAGTAATGCGGCGTCACGAAATGCAGCATCGAATGGGTGCTGCGATGTATGCAAATTGGATGGATTGTGGTGTTGTGTGATCTATCAAGCCAAATACTATTCGGGGTCTCCGAAGTGTGTGACCTCTCGAAGCCTCATTTGAGGAAACTGGCAGTATTTCATGGATATCGTTCCTTACCTGAGTTTTTAATTTCCTAGTCATACATAAAAAAATGTATGCATTTTCGATTTGCAATGACTTTGTGTTCAAAATAGATTTGTCTAATATCAGCTGTTTCATTTCTATTGTATCTTGTGCTGAGCTAATGTAGTAATACGTCTTCTACAAAATTATATTGTGATTTTGAAATTTTTTAGATTAGATTTTTAACTTCCACCTGGCAGTGAACAGACATGACCAATGTCGCCACTTTATTTGCATTTACTGCTGAAAATCAGTAATTGAATGTGCGAAATGGAAGAACTAATACTGATTTATTCAAATAATTTCCACTGAATTTCTCCATATGTAATTGCATCATAGAACATTTTCATTGCTTGAAAGAAAAATTAGGAGCGAAACTCAGTTAGAAGGAAAAGGCATTTCTGTTTCATCTAAATCTTAATATTGTTCTGAATAAATCTTAAATAAGAGTTGTCTATGTCAGCTGTTATATTGACAGTTTTTTCAACCATTATATTCATGTATTTTATGTTTTTAATCAATTTTTACAGAATTAGAGGCATGAAAACTGTTGAATTTTTAACTATTTAATTATAAACACAAATTAAATTCAGAAAAGGGAAGGTAATCTGTTAATGGTTGATACTTGAGAACTTTTAGA